GTTGAATGAGCCCGTTGACGTTTGAATCTCGCCAGTGTTACAAGGTTGAATGAGGCCGTTGACGTCTGAATCTCGCTAGTGTTACAAGGTTGAATGAGGCCGTTGACGTCTGAATCTCGCTAGTGTTACAAGGTTGAATGAGGCCATTGACGTCTGAACCTTGCCAGTGTTACAAGGTTGAATGAGCCCGTTGACGTTTGAATCTCGCCAGTGTTACAAGGTTGAATGAGGCCGTTGACGTCTGAATCTCGCTAAGACTCACCCATATTTCCAACATCAAACCTTTTGTGGCACACATTGCAACAAGCTTCTTGGCGATGTGCACTCGTAACAAGCTATTCCTTGTACTCATCCTTCAGAAGCCAGACATGCTTTAATATGTATTTTCCTGGCAGGTTTTACTCAAGTACACATTAAGTAAATACGACAGAACATAAAAATAATGACAGAAAAAAGGGATGTATTGTAATTATATAATTGCTTGAATGGCGAGTTTGGAGACGTCAACGGCCTCATTCAACCTTGTAACACTGGCAAGGTTCAGACGTCAATGGCCTCATTCAACCTTGTAACTTTATTAAAGTGTATTATGCATTCAAATCAGTGAAATTTGTCCCAATATTAAATTTAACTTAGGAATATTATTCCCTTACTTGCTGGACTATGGCGTCATGTTGATTTGTCACAACAGTAGGCCTAACCGTCAATGTTCTATCTGACATCGGCCTAGATTCAGACAATATCAAACTGTTGATATGCACATTAGCCTCATACTTTGTCCCATTCATATGGCTTATTGCTGCGTTGTATTATTTTGCCATTAGCCTTTGGATGATTCACTTCTTTTCCTCTAGGTGTCAGCACCTCATCATGGAATTTGTTCTTTACAGAGCAGACTGGATTAATATGTTTCAAAAGAAGATGAGTGGAAATCTGAGGTTTTATGGGTCTTGAAGACCATTGTTATTCAGTATAATTACGAAAACATGAATGAACTGTTTAAAGAAATGTTCCCAGATAGTAATATTACATCCAAGTTCTCTCGTGGAGAAACAAACTATGCATATATTGGTTGTTTTGGATTGGACCCATATATGAAGTCAAACTTGTATCAAAAGCTTGGAAAAGATACAGACTTTATACTCATGTACAACGAATCCTTAAATGGTAGAAACCAAAATGACCAACTTGATGTGTACCTTCTGTACTTTGACTCGGAAAAATCTTGTGATGACTAGATCTCTTGATTCTGCATTTCTTGGGCACGCATGGGCTAATGATTTTTTAAGCCATTTCTTACAGCTGACTAAAGAGCATAACCTTAGTCATCTTTTGCAAATAGAGATGGATGGTTCAAATGTTAATTGGTCGTTGTATGAGAAATTAGAATCAGAGTTAACACCTACAAATTCTGACCCATCTTGAATCAACATTGGGTCTTGTGGTCTCCACATGGTCCATGGAGCTCTTCATACTGCTAATGATTGGAATTTAGAAGCAATACTTAAAACAGTGTACTACCTTTTCAAAGATTCTCCAACCAGATCGGAAGACTGAGAAAAGTACTGGGTCTCGTACGTATGCACTGAAATTTTATTTTTACCTAATGTGTAGAGAATGCAGTTGAAATTATTCCGAATTTCCAAACATACATCAAAACAGTTGAAGCCAAATCAAACTCTTACACAGTATCAACAAGCCAAGCATTTAATACTGTTAAACCTGCAACAAATGATATCCTGTATATCACCTGTGATCTTGAGTCTATGATCAGTGTTGTAAAAACACAATGTGTTATCCAAAATAGACAATGCATTTCAATTGTTGAAAATTGACTTAAGCAATACAAAAAATACGAAATTGGCTAAACTTGTTGATATCAGTTTTTGTGCAAAAGAAAATATAAAAATGTTGATTGCCAAAGAAAAAGCAATCCCAAGAGACGAGCTTTCATTTTGCAATAAGTGTTTGTCTGTTTAATTGAGAACTTGCTTGTGAAGTGTCAGTTGAAATGCTCGTTTACTTGTAATGTTGCCTGGTTTTCTCCTCTAAAAATGGCCTCAGATGCAATGGATAGTAAGAATGTGTTCACTTAATCAGACAGTATGACGTGTTTTATCTCAGACTGTGAAGCCCAACATCTGCATCTTCAAGAGTTTTGACCTCAAAACTGATAGGCTTGACTTTTTTTTTATTCAATTACATGAGCCAAGCTACAGATTATGAGTCCTTATGTTGCCAAACTCATTTTGATAGTTTCTCATGGCCAAGAAACTACTGAAAGGGGCTTTTCTGTGAATGGAAGGTTCATGCTTTAAAACATGAAGTTTGTTGGTCAGAGGTTAATCTATTTAAAGTATTCTGGAAGTTCCTTTGTCAAAAGAACTGCTCACTGCTGTTCAAAGTGGGAGACAAAAATATGACCAATACGTCGATCAACAGAGAGAGGTGGTTGAACTGAATGAAAAGACACGGAAAAGGAAACTTATCTTTGAAAATATTGCATACTTGAGGCTAAACATGAAATATTTGAAAAAGATATAACATCCTTAATTGAGACTGCTGCTGATCTTGCTGACAAGGCCTAAAAACAAACCAATAAGTCTGATTTTGCAAAATCAAATGGCAGAAGTTTTTAGAATTAAAAATTTTGCATCAAGAAATTGCAAAAATGGTGGAAGAGTCAAAAAATTGTTAATCTATGTCCTATCATTATGTTTCACATGGAGTCATACTTGTATATGTTTCATATGGAGTCATACTTGTATATATTTCACATGGAGTCATACTTGTATATATTTCACATGGAGTCATACTTGTATATATTTCACATGGAGTCATACTTGTATATGTTTCACATGGAGTCATACTTGTATATATTTCACATAATATACAGAGAATAAACAGTTGATGTGGACTATGATTTATTTCGTGTAATATTTGATCTGGAAAATCAGTTTGAGGGTTATAGAAAGTTTTGGAAAAGTCATGGAAATTTGAATCACTGAAGGTTAACGAACCCTGGACTTGCTAAGCTTCACAGAATAGTCACCAGTAGAATTCTGACAAATTGCGTTTTTCAGTTAAAATTTCATCAACCAGG